TATTGGTATTGAGAAGAGATTGGTTGGGATTGGACCAACATTTGGTTTGGTAGGAACCACTGGTGCAACTATTGCAGGTGCTCTACCTTACTTTGTTGATGAGGATACTCTTGGTGGAACTGGTAGCGTAAATGGTTTGGTGGCTAATCGTGGTTCATTTGCTAGTGCTAATGCTATTGGATTTTAAAGCTTTAAACCAGAAGAAATAGTTTAGATTTGGTTTATTTTAAAGTTCGATTATCTTTGTAATTTCGTTGTGTATTTTTTTTTTTTTATTTCTTTCTTAACGTTAACGTTGCTGTAATAAACAAATTCCATTAACTGTCAGCTGATTTAATATTTTGGTAAATGTTCAATTGAACCCATGATTTGTTTTCGTGCGTTCATATAACTTTTTCGTGGCACATTAACACACTTTCATCATATGAAAAAAAATGAGAACTTTAAGACATTCGCCATTTTATTTGTAAGATCTAGGATCAGAATTTGTTTCTAGTGTATTACATTACTAAATCCATCCTAGTTCATTACATTTAAAGTAATTATAATAATAGTACAATAATAGGTAAATCAAAGTCACAAAATTTTTAATTTAAAATAAAAAAGGTAAAAATAATGAATCAATTAAAAACAACACCTATTTAATCATCACTTTTCTTTGATATTTACCTTTCAGATTCAATAAAATCACTCCATTTTTTTTTTCCTATTCAAACCAATAATATACTATCTTGTACAATGATCCTCTTCTTTCGCTTCCATACCAATTCTTTCTGCTGATAAGCCTATAGATTTTCATCATTATATTTAATCCGTTTGTATGAATGTGTAGAAGCTACTCGACGTAATTTTTGACCATCTTTAAGGAGCTGTCCTTCTTTCTTTATTAAGTTTTGATGACTAATGTGTGTGTAAAGAAATTTAAATTATTAATCTTTGATGAGAAGAATCCAATTTATGGTAGATGAACTAGTAAATGACTTCTTTTTATGGTAATTCTATATAAATTCTCTAAATGAGATAAGAAAGAACTAAGCTTCTTTGTTCCGAGCATCATTTTGGGCGTCATTTTTTTTAATAATCTGGTTTCTTGTGTCAATGTTTGTAGAATTCCCTCCTTTGAGGTCGCTAATATTATTATCCTTTCCAATGATATTTTTAAAAATGTTCCACAATTTTGAAGTGGGGGTAGATATAAAGAAATCGATCGTCGCACGAACCCTGTCCATTACATCACTAAAAATATAATTGACCAATCAGTTGGGTCTACTTTCTAAAAATAGCTTGATCTTAGAAATGAACTTGTTTTTCTGGCCCCCTAAGTCTTATGTAATACGTCATTCGCGTGGCAAATAATATAAATATTCTTAAAATTTAGGATTTTGATTTGACCTCCCATTTGTTTGTTTTGTTTGCGAAAATTAAAAAAACGAAAAAACTGAAGAAAAAAAATTAATGAATATGACAAACTTTAATAAAGACATATTTGAGGTGCCCGAAAATACAAACTATATGGAAGACATAGTTCAGACTCCAATGAATACATGTGACGAAAACGATGCTAGTTTGCTAACTCAACCGTCACGAACCAAGAATTATTTGGCTAGAAAGACTGCTGGTGTACAAGTAACTATTATCAGGATAAAATTAACCATTCCCTTCATAATTTGTTTCAAAATTAACGCGTCTAATTTTTATTTTTTCAGAAACGTAAAAATAATAACACGTTTGTACCGACAGTACCAAAACCTTTCAAATTTCATACTGCCTCGCGTGTAAATATTTCTCGTAATGAAGACAGTCCTCAAAGAACACCATTTATTCCTCTAGCAATCAAGGTAAAACAATTCATGGAAAACACCCCCAAGCTTGATCATGGTAAAGCGGTTTCAAAGGTAGGTAATATATAGCATATGATTTTATTATGTCGATCATGTTTATATTAACAACTTGATATAAATATATTTATTATCTTAAGCATAATAATGTGCGTTCAAACGAATTAACTGTGCCAAGGTCCCCATTATTGCGTACTAAATATAGAACCAAAAATGCTACGTAAGTTTCATCAAAATGATTGATCTTCATCTTTTAGTATTCTCGTAATTTTAATTTATTTGATATTATTACACAGAACATTACCTACAGAAGAACGTGTAGTAAGGGAAATACAAAATTATAGATTTAAAGCGAATCCGGTCGATCGAAGGGTATTTATTCATGTCTTTTTTAATATTTAAGCTCAATGACGTTTATTGTATCGTTATTTGTTTAACTCTTAAAAATATGTTTATATATATATTATTTTTTTTTTAAAAAAAAAAAATAAAGATCTTTGAAAGAGATGTTTTAAGAGTTCCCCAAGTTCAGAAACTCAAGCTAACTGAACCACATTCGCCATTTATAACAAAACCTAAACCACCAAGATCAAGGAGTCCATCCCCACCGCATTTGATTAAAGCTAATCCCGTACCTGACCATAAAGATCCATTTAGACCGATGTTTGAACATCGATTTATCAATGTGTCTGATTTCAGGTTACCCGGTGAAGAAATTTCCAAAAGGAAATCACAAGAAATAGAAGAAAGAATTCGACTAGAAAGAGAGAAATTTGAAAGGATGCGTGAATTTAGAGCTCGACCACTTCCTACTAATTCCCCAGATGTATGTAACGTTGCTTATGATGATGTATCATTATATCTTTATCAATTATTCTTAAATTTTTGATTTCGCTGTACGTAGTGCCTGCCCCCACGTCACCATTATACACCAACTTATCCAAAACCATTTACATTGTTAACTGATTGTCGTGGAGAAAGATATCAAATGGAATTTAATGAAAAATTGAGAGAAGAAGAGCGTGAACGCGAAAACGACTTACAATTCCATGCTCAACCTGTTCCTAGTTTTGAACCTGAAATTCTTAAAAGACCTGAATGTCCTCCGCCAACAGAGGCAATCGGCTTTTTCTTTCAGACTGATATCCGTATGGAAGAACGTCATCTTTTTGATGAACAAAGGAGGTTGAGAGACAAGGAAGCTGAGGAGCAAAAGGAACAAAAACTTCGAGAGGAAGAGGTAAAATTTTATTTTAAACCCTTTTATAATTTATTAATTACCTCCTTTAATTATTATATAAATTTATTTAAATAAAGGCACGTCAAGCGGAAGAAATTCGTCGTTTAAGAGTAGAATTGGTTCATCATGCTCAACCTATTCGATATTATTCACCAATAATTATACAACCATCGAATAAAAAGCCAACAAGGCCAGTTTCTCCAATGATTGGTGATAAACGTTTTATATAAAACTTTACGGAGTTGGAGTATCGACATAGATGAATACAAGGGTTCTTTCAAATAAATTCTTGCAATAAATTATAAAAGATGATCATAATTATGATGAGAATTTTGAAGTTAACCGAAGCCTTAATCAATTGAAATAATTTTTTTTTTTTAAAAAAAAAACCTATTTAAATATAAAGGTTCTCTTAATCCTGGTTAACTTTACTCGGTAGTAAAATTTATCTATAGTTGAAGAAGTAGTTACTATTAAAAAAAAAATATTTTAAAAGTGGTTTAATATTAATAATAGTTGTCTAATTATTTTTTTTTTTAAAAAAAAAAAAAAATTGTTCAAAGGGGAGATAAATTTAATTTTTATTCGTTAAAAATTCTGCATACGAAATTTTATAATTTTATTTATTTATTATCAAATAAATAAACTTTAATCATAATAAAAAATTATTATAAAATGTAAAATACAAAATCGTTGAACATCTGTCAGTGAGATAAGATATTTTAAACATATTAAAACTGCTAAAATTAAATTCTCGGGGGGTATGTTAATAAAATCTTACACTTTTTCAAATACAGTATGTAGGATATAGGCTAGAAGAAACAAATGAAATACTGGAATGCCACTCTAGATACGGTCTTTAAGATTCGGTCGTAAAATCGATCTTGAGATTGGATGAGATCGGATCGTCCTTATTGACGAGTAAGAAGTGCCACAAACATAAATTAAGAAATGTTTTGTAGATTAATCAACAAAGGGTCTCCCATCCTTGGCGCAGCTGGTATGTTATAATAATGCAAATTCGCATAGAAAAATTAATCATATAGTCTGGCTTTTTAAAATATAATAATAAAGTAAATATTTTACAAAATAAAAAAAAAACTACGACATCCTAACTCCTTATTGACGGAATTCTCACCAAAGTTGCATCATCCTTGGAGGAGATGAGCGAGAATATTCAGAAGTTCGGTGAGATCAATTATCTGGCCAAAAAAAAATTTAACAATGACAAGTTTTTAATGTCGAAAGAAACAATTGGATAGAAATAAATGAACAAATCGACAATTTTTCCCGATTTCATGAAGAATTGTTGTTCCACTTGAGACCTTATCAGCTTGAAGCGCATTTGTTGACTGGTCCAAATTCTCGTATTGCATTTGTGCAAACATTTTATCTATATGATTACGAATTTTCGATATGAGTTCTTTTCTTGATAAATTTTTTTTTTTTTAATTTTGTGTACTGTTTGTACTTGTATACTTTTCTGTAACAAGGCTATCGTACATGCAGAAATGTAAAATTTTTAACCGATACTGAAATTCAAATTCAATTCAAAAAATTTATATATTTGAGGATACCCACACATCTCAAAAAAAAAAAAAAAAATGATTTTGCCAAAACTAGTAATTTTTTTTCAATCAAATTTATTAGTGGAACATTTTTCGTTATTCATGATGACTTTTTCGTGGCGTTTATTCGTCAACAAATTGCATATTTGTTCTTGCTGGAAAGTCAATTTGATAATTTCCTAATATGATGGATGAGCCTCATTAAAATATTTACAATGAAAGTGACACAGCCACCATACAAAATAAGTAAACCGTCAAAAAAATTGGTTTTGTGTAAAAAAAAAAATTATTATTATAAATTTTTTTAAAAAGCGAAAAACTAGTATATTGAATTTCACAAGGACTTGAAAAGTTATGGACCAACTAAACAATATAACCCTTTGGGACGTTAAAGATGTGTTTAATAAAGTGTATGTTTTAACTTATTATTAGATAAAGTTTTATTTTGGTCTTGGTTCTCTCTTGTTAATAGGAATTCATAATTCTTAGTAAGAATGTTGTGATGAACTATACTGAAATGGAGGCAAAGGTTCGTGAGGCTACTAATAACGAACCTTGGGGTGCTAGCAGTACTTTGATGCAAGAAATTGCTCAAGGTACCTATAACTAGTAAGTGACGATGACTCGATCTTTGTATCTTGTCTTTTTTTTTATAAACGAAATAAAAATTAACATTATATATCTTATTTTGAATTCAAGTACATATTTTAATGAGATCATGCCAACAATTTATAAGCGGTTTACGGAAAAGGAAGCGAGACAATGGAGACAAATTTATAAGGTAGCCGTCATTAAAAAAATTGATGTTGCTTTCGGGTCAGTAATAGTAATAAAATTGGGTTTACGTTTTATTGATAGGCTCTTCAATTGCTTGAATATCTTGTGAAACATGGATCTGAAAGGGTCGTTGATGATGCTCGAGCACATATGGCAACTGTTAAAATGATGAGAAATTTTTGTTTTGTCGACGAAAAGGGAAAAGATCATGGAGTAAACGGTTAGAACCTTTATTATTATTTGATGTTTTAAGAAAGATTCTTTTAACAAATTTATTTTTTATGTATAGTTCGTAATCGGGCAAGAGAACTTGCTGAACTCTTAGGTGATATTGAAAAAATTAGGCAAGAACGAAAGAAAGCAAAAGCTAATAGGACTAAATTTACTGGTGTTAGTTCGGATACAATTGGTTATGGAGGTTTCAGTGGATCATCTGGATCATCTCAATATGGTGGATTTGGAAATGATTCATACGGTTATTGTGAGTATCATTTTATTCTAGAACTAAATTTTTTTTCCGCCAAACTGAAAAACATCTTCTTTTTTTAGCCGAGTCCCGTTCCAGATATGACGATATAGATACACAATGGCAAAGTGATTATCGGACTGGAAGGACTTCATCAGACGATAGAAGATCAAGTCTAACTAATAATCGATCAAGCATATCTTCAATTAAAAAGACTTCTGAATCATCCACCTCACATTCTAATGGCACAACTGCAACAACACAGAAAGAAGTAAATCTATTTGATTTTGATGATCCTCCCGTTACTTCAACCACCTCCAATCAAGCCGCTTCTAATGATTTTGGTACGAAATTAAATTATAATTTTGTTTGATTTTCAAATACCGTTATTGATATTAATCATCACAAAATTTTTCCTTCTTCCAGATGATGATTTCCAAGACTTTCAAAGTGCACCACCGCTTATGCCATCCTCTCAAAGATCGTCGATTTCTTTACAATCCGGTTCCCAATTTAATTCAATTTCACCAATTCAACCAAATACAAATGTTAAGCCAATTCAACCCATTTCAAATGTACAATCACTCAATGCAGGAATAAACAATAATTTGCTTGATGATTTACTTGGTCCCGTATCTACAACGCAATCTACAAATTTATCGATTAACACGCCAAAACCTTCATCTACACCTTTAAATACTTCACAACCTATTAGCGTTATTAACGCGACAAAACCTATTTCACCAACCACACCAAAGCAGGTAAGTCATATATTATCAAAGAAACATTTTTATAAAATACAGAAATTTCTAATATTTGATATTTAAATTTACAGAATGTCAACAACCAAAATATTGCCTTCTCCAAGTTAAAATCTAATGATATTTGGGCCCAAGCGTCCAATCTTGTATCTTTGGATTCATTGGGGAAAGAACCTGCATCTAGTACAAAACAAACTGTTAAACCATCAATGAATTCTCTTGCACAAGCTGATTCTACAACTTGGGTAGCTAGAGGAACTTGGGTTGCACAACCAGCACAACAATCTGTTCAACAAAACAATCAACTTAATTCTCAACAAAAACAAGATCCTTTTGATATGTTATTGTGATGATTTTTTTATTTTTAACATAATAAGAAAAAAAAAAAAAAGTGTGCGCACAATTGAGAGAGGAAATAGGTTATTTATATTAGACGACTTAAATTAAAGAGAAAATAATAATTTACTTAATATTTCAAAAATGTAATGTATTATAACAAAATTTTGTTATAGTTTCTTTTTACGGAAGATTTCGTTTTTTAGATGCTTGATTAATTTTTTTAATGAAGATTTTGATAATAAAATGGTCCATTAAAATAATGGTGACGGCTTGTTATGATGAAGTAATAGTAAGTCAAAAAAATGATAAATCGATGATGCAATATCCTGACTCCGCTTCTAAAAATAGATTTTATTTCTACTTAGTTTTTTTTTTGTCACATACTATTTTTTACACGTGTTGACTGTTGTTGTGTGGGAATAATCTTTACAAATAAACTTTTTTTGTAAGTCTACTCGAAAGTATATGACAAAAAAAGTCTGAAAGTATCAAGTATCGAGTGAGATAAATATGGCTATTTTCTTATTTTTTTTATTTCTCAAAAACTTTCTTAGTTCTTTCTTGATTGTTGCGATTTAATATGTGTAAGTATAAAACGATTGAAGTGTAGGTATGATGGTCTAAAGATTCTGGAGGTGGAGCCTTTTATGTGCCTTCCTTTGTCATAGAAAGCAATTCGTGCTCTACGCTACGGTACATTTTTCACCTCTACCTCTATCTCTACCTCTACACTACGCAACATTACGCTACATTTTTAATTCTACTTCTACTCTATGTTACGCAACATTTTTACCTCTAACTTTACGCTATGCTACGTTACGCTACGTTTTGTAACTCTACCTCTATTTATTTTTTCAACGTTATGCCTCTACACTTTCACAATCTAATTTGTTTCTTACTATGCGTTTGTATTTTTACATACACTTACACTTTCATTTGCTTTTCAGCTCAGAAACGAAAGCTATGTTGCCCTCCCAAACGATCGGTCTTTATCGGGGGGACTAACAAAAAACAATTTCCGAAGGTACCTTCTCTCATCAGTGTTGTGCTGGGACATGTCCCAGATGAGCTTGGGACAATTGGGACATAATGTGGGACAGCTTGGGACATAGTTTGGGACAGTCTTAAAATGCTTGGGACATGGAAAATGGACAACACTGCTTCTCTATAATGAAAACGGGCCCGTCTAAAGCGGAGTTGTTTTGGCCGGAATTATGGCATTAAGAAATTAATCATGTAACGAATAAAGGGCCTGACAAATAGGATTTTGCCACTTAATAAAAACTAAAAAAGTGGAGGGATGTGATACAGGTGACAAATAAATTTGCATCGATCACGTGATTAACTCCGCTTCCTAAAAAAACGGCAAAAAATGAGTAAGCATTTTTTCATCGGTTCCTTAATATCACACTAATGATTCGGACATTTGATTTATGTTTATTTAATTTTTTTTCTTTGTCCATTTAGAAAGTGAGTGCAATACGGGAATTTTTTACAAAAAAGTTCAAGGACAAGGCTTTGTTACCAATGATATTAGGGTGAACTTTTTACCATCCAAACCCGAAACTTCAACCGTATATAAAATTCTGAATGAGCACTCTAGTGCAGTGATGTGCATTTATGCTTCCAATAGTATAAAATTTGATTGGAAGCTTCCAATCCAAATGAATGTATTAGGGGATTATGCTTCCAAAGGTACTTCCAAGAGTGCTTCCAATCTTCCAGGTGCACATCACTGCTCTAGTGAACTTGGAACTTCAACTACTGAACCTTCCACTTCCACAACTGAAAATTTTAACAAGTGGGAGTGATGATGGCTTTTTTACGAAAATTAATGAGGAAGAGTTCACCGGACGCACCTTTTTGAAGTTAACCAAAAAAGACCTTAGAGAATGTGGATTGAAATTTGGACCTTCGTTAGAACGCAAAAGTATCGAACTTGACCTGTATCTTGACCTTATTGCCGATCTCATTGTAAAAACAATTGTTATTTATATAGTAATCGGCAAGAAGGTCAACTTTAATACGAGGAGGGTTAAGTTCGATACTTTTGCCGTTAGAACTTGAAGATTAGGGAACTAGTTGATAAGAAAGGCAGTATAATTAATTAAAGCGACCATTTTTTGTGAAATTAAAAATTTGGGAAGCGATGTATAATGTAACAGAACTTTTGTATAAATCATGAAATACAAATAAAAATAAAATGCTTAACTGTTGTGATATTGCAAATTGAGGTAATTCTAAAACCTAATAATCTTATTCACTGCGCGCAGTGCTACTGCGGGTCGTGCCACTGTGGGTCGGGTCCGTGCGTAAATTGACCGATTTAACTATGATTGGGTAAATCATTAATTTTTTATAAATAGATTATCAAAAAAAAATAAAATAAATTCTGTTTAACAAAATACATTAACAATGCTGGGTAAAAAAACTGTTACTTTTGCTGACGATGTAAGATCTGATACTTCTGAAGAAGCGTTTGAAAAATTAAAGAGGCCTTATTATGCTAATAAAAAATTAACTGATCCTGTCAAAGAGGTAGAAGTAAGTATTTTTATTTACATTAAAAAACTAAATGTTGACATTACGCTATAATTACTTGTATTTAGGATAAATGGCAACTTTTACCTGCTTTCCTCAAAGTTAAAGGATTGGTTAAACAACACATTGATTCTTATAATTATTTTGTTGAAACTGAATTAAGAAAGATTGTCCGAACCAATGAAATGATTACCTCAGATGTAGACCCTTCATTTTGGTTAAAGTATATCTAATGATTTGATTTCTTCAGCTTTACATTTAATGTTGAATTAACATTTAGTATCTTAATTTTATGATCACAGATACCTTGATATTAGGGTTGGACCACCAGATAGACCTGACACGGATCATGAAGCACATATTAATGTATTTACTCCTCATGAATGTAGATTAAGAGATTTAACGTATTCCGGTAACATTTATGTTGATATAGAATATGTTCGTGGAAAAAAAAGAGTTGTACGTAAGAATACTATTATCGGTAAAATGCCAATTATGCTTAGGAGTTCCAAGTGTGCATTAACTGGAAAATCGGAAGCTGAACTGGCAAAGATGTTTGAATGTCCTTTGGATCCAGGTTCGTTAAGATATTAGGAAAATTTTTGAAAGTTTTTCAATACATTGACGTTCATTGTAAATTATTTTTTAGGTGGTTATTTCATTATCAAGGGTACGGAGAAAGTAATTCTTATACAAGAACAACTTTCGAAAAATCGTATCATTGTTGAAGGTGATAAAAAAGGCCTTGTGCAGGCTTACGTTACAAGGTACTTGATTTATGTATGATGTTTAAATATTGTGTTAAATCATACTCATGTTTCGATGATTTCATAGTTCGACTCACGAAAGAAAGAGCAAGACGTATATAGTAGCAAAGAATGACGCAAAAAATGACAAAATAACTTTAAAGCATAATTCTATATCAGAAGAGATCCCTATTGTAATTGTGATGAAGGTGAAGGATATTTACATATTTACATCTTTTAAATCTCTTGATTTCATCATAAATTTGTTTATTGTTTTAGGCGATGGGAATTCAATCAGATAAAGAAATATCACAGCTTATTTCGGGAGGAAATCGGACATTTTTAAATATGTTTTCGCCGAATATAGAACAATGTGCAAAAATGAAAATATTTACACAGAAACAAGCGTTAGATTATATTGGAAGCAAAGTTAAAGTAACAAGAAAAATAGCAAATGTCAGAAGACCTATGGCAGAAGAAGCGTTGGAGGTGCTATCGACTGTAGTGCTCGCTCATGTGCCAGTTAAAGATTTAAATTTTCAACCGAAATGTATTTATATAGCCATCATGATTCGACGAGTTTTAATGGCCTTGGCAAATGAAAATTTGGTCGATGATCGAGATTATGTTGGAAACAAAAGATTAGAATTGTAAGTGATTTTTAGATGTTTTAATTTGAATCAATGGATCAATTTCAAAATTGTAATACGTTATTCATGTTATGATTTAGAGCTGGATCTCTGTTATCTTTATTATTTGAGGATTTATTCAAGAAGTTCAATTTTGATTTAAAGATGAACATTGATAAACTATTGAAAAAGCCAAACAGAGCCACGGAATTTGATGCTCATAAACAACTCATGCAACATGGTGATAGTATTACAAATGGATTTGTAAGAGCTATAGCTACAGGGAACTGGACATTAAAACGTTTTAAGATGGAAAGAGCTGGAATAACTCACGTGCTTAGTAGATTGAGTTATATTTCGGCGTTGGGAACAATGACTAGAATAACTTCACAATATGAAAAAACAAGGAAAGTTAGTGGACCCAGAGCACTTCAGGTGAGATTTGTCTAATTTTGAAGGGAATTGATTAAAGGAGAGCAAATAGAAAGCAGTTTGTGCTTGTTTAAAATTTTCTTTCGGATCGGAAATAACGATCAAATTATATTTGGGATGTAGCCGTCACAATGGGGCATGTTATGTCCCGCAGATACCCCTGAAGGGGAAGCCTGCGGTTTAGTTAAAAACCTTGCTTTGATGACTCACATAACGACCGACGACGAAGAACAACCATTGAGACGATTAGCTTTTAATCTCGGTATTGAAGGTATATCAACAAAACTTTTAAGATTGTCCATTAAAACTTGAAATATTCATTTCCTTGGATATTTATTTCAGACGTTAATAGTTTGACAGGTGCCGAGCTATATCGTAATAACGCGTATATGGTCTTCTTGAATGGTCTTATGCTCGGAATTACGTGTCAGCCGAATAGCTTCGTTCAAGATTTTAGACGATTGCGTCGATGTGGTAGAATTTCAGAGTTTGTTAGCATTTATGTGAATCATCATCACAATGCCGTTCATATTGCTTCGGATGGTGGGCGAGTATGTCGTCCTTTAATCATTGTAGAAAATATGATACCTAAAGTTAACACGAAACATATTCAGGTATTTATTTGCTCGTGTTTACCTTTAAAAAGTATATACAATTAATTTT